ACGTTGTCTTCTGCGTCATCATCCCTACACTCGAGCTGCTGCAACTCACAATTTCTGCTGTCAACGCTTTCACGCCACGAAGTATGCTAATTTAAAAAGCAGCAGCACCAGCGTTTGCCACTGTGGCAGCATTGCAATTTTCTTGACAGGATTAAAGAGCGCTCATGCGGCGGTCGGACTGCCAAATCTCCATGCATACATACATATATGAAATATAAACCATAAAGTTTCTACACTGACAGCGTAGATGTGAAGTGTCAAAATCAATTTTAGCAATTTTTTTTTCTCAAAAGGGAAAATAAATAAAAAGTTGTCGTTGCGGTTGGTGAATTACGAATTTATTCAAGTATAAGCTCGCATTTGTATATATTTTATAACAATATATATCTGCAGCCGCAATAGCCGAGTGGTTACGCAATCGTCATTCGGAAGGCCGCATTTCGGACCCTATAGTCCGACTAAAATCCAAAAATTATAGAATATTAATTTAAATAAAAAATTAAGTTAAATTTTCTTATTCCGGTCACCCTTCGGGAGGCAAAGACTCCTCATAAAAAATCACCAGCCATTCGGGTGCGGCTCTAGGTCCCTCCATTAGTCTCAAGATGACTTTCATCATACAAAATATCGACCAATTGCTTTAAGTCAAGATCGATATTATTCTTCGGCGAACAAGGTAGCCGAGTGGTTCGAATTGGGTACTGCCATTCGGAAGGCGAGTTCAAATCCTGGTGTCGTAATCACATCCAAAGAGTTATAGAAAATTAATTTAGATAAAAAATTAAGCTAAATTTTCTGATTGCGTTCGGAGACGGCTTAGTATAAACTGGAGGTGCCTCCATTTGTTGGAAAAACATCATGACGAAAGTAACGAAATTGGAGGAGGAGCTCGCCTGAAAATCGCTTTAGCGGTTACAAAGCGCCAATTATATATATATAAAACTGAAATTGCTTAACTCTTTCATTGTCATTAAACGAAGCTCATTGGATGTACAAGGAACCCATACAAGCTGAAACGAGTGACATCCCACTATAATTCAAGAAAAATCTCGATTCACAGCTTCATATATACCCAATTTAATAAATCATTCTAGCACAGGGAGGCGCACCTCATCGTTTCTCATACCGAGGTTCACACCCGTCAACTCAGCAGTACGCTTTTATATTATGACAACCCTATGACAAGAGTATGCTTTATCCTTCCTTCCACCATTGCTGATTTTTCAAGACCTGATCAAAGTCCATCTGAATTCAGAATTAGCATATTAAAGAAAATAGAAACATTGCCAAATAAATATCAGACAAAAAGTTTACAAATACAAAAACAATTTAAAACATTTAAGGAATAAAATAAAATAAAATAAAATAAAATAGAATAAAAGTAAAAAAAGGAAATAAAATAACTGAAACAATTAAAGACATAAACTTTTTAGCAAAACGTCAAGTTCCGACACTTTTTCTATTTTGGGTGGGTGGCTTCGCTAAAGTAGGCATAAATGTAGGCTACGATTTTTTTGGTTTTCATGGTTCTTTCAGAAAGAAACAAAACGCAGTCTACATTTTGGCGAATATATAAAAGTAATAATTTATTACAATTTTTGAATAAAATGTTTAAAAATTTAAAAAAAAAAGTCTGCAAAAGTAAAGTTGATGTTTTCCAAAAAAATGTCAGTTATATGTGTGAAACGATGATTGCTGAGGGTTTTATTTTCCAGCGTCAACTTTTAGCTACAAACACCTGTACATGTGCATGCATATGCAGCTTAGTTTGAATGGTTTCCTATGGATACCATTTTGCACGTAGCAAACGAGTTGGTAAACTTTAAATTGAATGATTTTCGCTTTTGCTTCTTACCAATTTAAGCCAAAAGAAACTTTTTATTCTTACACCTACTCGGATGGTATGTAATTTTTGGAGAAGAAAACGAGAAAATTGTTTAAGAACTTTGAAAAGTGAGCTAATTTAATGTGGAATTGAAAAAAAATTATATAAAAGTGTTTTGTATTTATTTACTGATATGCAGCATAGCATACCTAGCTGCTTCGTATTGCATACATTTAGGCGCGAAAATTCTTAAATAATAAATAACTTTATAAACACTCCCTCTGGAAAAGTGTGACCTCTACTCTTACTTTGTATATTAATTTTTTTTCCAAAGAAGCTTATAGCTGCTTGGCATTGTCTACTCGCCATTCATCATCAGACACCCATTTGAATTGCAAATCATTTTTTTTTGATATTTCTTATTTTATTTTCTATAATATAAAGAATGAAATTATTACCAGCAAATACCCGCAATTCGCTTGCTAAGGTATACAAGTTCATAAAATACTTACAAATACAATAGCCATGCAATTGACTGGAGTTGCCGCTGGTGATGCAACAATTTCTGTTTTATTGTTATTTACTCGCATTTGTTGCTGTTATTTACCGTCTCTCCTCAAAGCTTCCACAATCCTTTACAATTGTGATTCACTGCTTCACTGCACTTAACTTTCTCTTTAAGCGACTTGTTGTTGTCGTCGGGTGTTTTAAGTATTTCTAGCCTCTTGGTGCGTCTTTGCTGCCTTACCTCTTTCCATCCGTCCTTCCTTCCTTCCTTCCTTTCATGTTTCCTTTCGATTGTTTGCTGCATACTTCGTTTTCGCATTCATTCTTGTAAATACTTCTTCATCTATTACTCTTGCATTTGTTTGCATACATATTTATCTTTAAGTTAACATATTCATTTTGTTTATTTTTTATTCTTGCTACTTTTATTTTTTTGTTGCTTTTCATTTTTTTTAGTTTTTATTTCAATTGTCATATTTCTTTTTCTTCGTTATGTCACCCTCTCTCTATCTCTCTCTCTCCCTGGAGGTAAGTTGCAGCAATCACAGTAAATCACTGCATACTTTAAGGCACACTTACATGCATGGCTTTGTCTTCCCTTTTCTGTTATTTTTTTTTGTCTTTTGCGCTCCTCAAGGTGGTTTCTTTTTTTTCTTATTGTACTGAAGACCGTTGTCAAGTATTTAGCTCTCAAACCTGGAGAGGAAACGGAATTCGTTTATATTTTACTTAATATATTATGTATTTGTATTTGCAAAGGGTATTTTTTTTGTAGACGCGAGGTTTTCAATGTTGCAATATTTTTTTTTTGGTTGGTCTTATAGCATTTGTACTAGCCTTAGCTTGCCATTTCATAATGACAACAGACTTACTCCGGAACAACGTTTGCAAATCGTGAAAATTTTTTACCAAATTTATGGTTCGGTTTGCGCAACGCTTCAGGCGCTGCGTCCAATATCTGATCCACATAATTGCTCAGCGGGGTCGGTAAATCTTGCAACCACGGATCGATCATTACTAGTGGATAATTTTCAGAGAGTTGTTGTATATAGCTGTATAAAGTATCGAAGAAGACGCAAATGAGTCCTTCAGTCATCGCGCGCTGACTAATTGGAGTTGTGCCCTTCCACTTTATGGAAGATTTTGCGAAAGGATATTGGTTTGCAGACTTACAAATTGTACCTCGTGGGAGAATTGCAGCCAAACGACCATCAAACGCGTCACACGTTCCGTGAATGAGCCCAAAAGGAGATGACCAACTCGCCGTATTTGAACCTCTTCATGGTCGGGTAATAGAACATCTAATTCATCATCATCGATTGGGGATTCGGGTTGGTTTCTCTCTGGGTCCTACAACAAACGATTGCTCCAATCTTGAAACCTTCACTTAGTCACCTTATCTTTTCTTAGAGTTTTCGAGCATTACCCTTGTCGGACAGCTTTTCAAGCTCTTCATACTAAAATACTTCGATCTTCGTTCGAAAATCCGTTCCACAGCTTCCTTATACTGCGTTGCTGTGCGTCGTTTTGAACAATTTTGGTTTGATGCGGATTAAGGCGAGACGTTCACCGGAAACTCCTCTCTCCCACCACAAATCCGACAACAAATTTGCGCTCCTCTCTATGTTCGCAGTAGTACAAGTTTCGAGAGCACAACTTTTTCTATCCTTCTTCCATCCATCGTATCAATTGGATGACGGTGATGTCGAGGACATCAAACCTGTAGACGGTGGAACCTTACCAATTAAAGGATATTCTGGGCATTCCAGGTGCATTTTCTAACATTGTGATCCCTAAGACGTTTGCGGGGATTTTCATCCAAAGATGTGTCTCTTAGAAGATCCGTTTTTTTTATGGAGGTTAGTTTTCATATGTTGAGTCTCAAATCCTAAAACTACCGCAACGGATTCGTTTCCTAACTTTAGCTTGACTTCAAACGGATGTTTGTTGGCTACCCATAGAATACTTAGTCTAAGACGGGAAGTCAAGAGCTGCTTGAATCATGCCCAGGTGAGTGGCAGCCCAAAACTTTCCTTATTCGCGAGATTTCCTTGGTGTAGCCCCATCCATCATAACCTTCAGCTTATACTCGATTACACATGAAATCACATTATACGTATGCATGTATGTAACTGCATTAGGGAGATATTTTATTCAAGACGAAACGCAGAGTCACTCATGCCAAAAGGTGCCTAACTTTAGATAGGGTAGGCAATTGAAAATGAAAGTCCTCTCACGGCGTACGTAACCCGAACTCTACGACTTGTACTTGAGTGTTATACCCGTCCCAAAATATGGCGCAGAAGCCTGGACGATGTCGAAAGCTGACGAGTCGGCTCTAAGAGTCTGCGAGAGAAAATTTTTGCGAACGATTTATGGTACTTTGCGCACTGGCACTGGCCAATACCGCAGACGCTGGCTAGGTCATGTCGTCCGATTGGACTCCAGCTTTGAAAGTATTCGATGCAGTACCCGCTGGTGGAAGCAGAGGAACGGGAAGACCTCCACTTCATTGGAATGATCAGGTGGAGAGTGACCTGGTTTCACTTGGTATTTCATGCAACATTTTTTTTTTTGCTCTTGTTACAAAAAAATTTTTTTTGTTTTTTTTTTATCAAGCATTTATTGCATTTTTCTTTTAATATTATTATTTTTTTTTTGCTTTTAGTGACTTCAAGCCAAAGGCGACGTCTAAATATGGCGCTGCAGGCACAAATTCCAATAGCAACTTACCGAGCAGCAGCACCAATTCACCACCCAACAATAACAATCCGGAACGGACACCATCAACTATGTATGTACTACATGGACATCGTAACATTGAAGGTGAGCGGTGAGAAATGATTTCAAATTTTATTTGTAACTGTTAGTTATAACCCTTTGCTAGCCGATAGAAGGAATTAAAAGAAAAAATATTTTATTATTTTGTACACACTTTGGTATAACTAAAATTCATGGTCGGACATTTTGCAAAAACAAATTTCCGTTTGTCGTTGGAAATAAATCTTTTTAAATGGTATTTCTTTTTTTTTTAAGAGATTTGTGCAATAAAAAAAGTGCCAACAACAACAAACATTGATGCTCACGTCTGCATGCTGTTTGGTGTATCTGCGCGTTTTGCTAACCTATTACTGTCCTAATCCGTTTGACTTATCTGAATGTATATCTGCCATGACGTGGCTGTGTGGCTGATTGTATTTTTCATATTTAGCGGCATGAAATGATTCGCAGCCAACAGCTGTCAGTGGTGGAGTCACTAAAAAGGTTTCAATTTGTGTTTTTTTTTTATAAATTTATTTTTACTGCTTTTAGTGAACCTAACTATGGTCAGTCAGCTGAAACTCCATCTACTAGCAAAGCACCGGCAAGACTGCAGTACTGAGATGAAAATCCTACCAATTTTGGTTGGCACGTGCAGTATTTTTACACAATTTCATTTGAACCAGTTTGCGTTTTTTTGGAAAGGGGGTTTTAAATATTGCATATTGTTTTTGTTTTGAAAAAATATTTAACCACTATCCATTTACTGTTAGTTTTATTATTCGCCTTTGCTTGTGTTTTATGTGCGCGATTTATTTAAATGGAAAATATGATGGCGTTGCTCCACTCAACTAATTTACCATTCGACTGCTCTACGCCAAGCTTTGCTGTTTTTATTGTCGTTTTTCTATTTGTAGTTTGATGGCCAACTGAGCTGAGGATTAAACTAAAAAAAAAAAAAATAATAGAAATTCAAAACAAAAACAAAGCGTCTAATAAATCCACTAGTCGTTTTTAATTAAAATGAAAGCTTATAACTTAAATCCCGGCTACTTCATATTGCGAGCAGCGCTGAATTTGGCTGTATTCGTAGCCAGATTTGTTGTTGCTTTTGTTGAGTTAAATATTCATATTCATTTCGCTTTAAATTAGAAGCAAATTTTTTTTAAAAAGAACCAATCCATTGCGCTATAAAAGCTATTAAGCGTCTGAAATTTTGTTAACAATGTGTGGAAGTGTATGTGTGTGAGTGGAATTATGTAGTTGGCACTGAAACTCTATTGAGTAATTCGCTGTATTTAATGCATATGTAGTTTCTATTCTAAAGAAAAGTAAAGGAAAGTGGCTCGAAATGTTTAGCACTGTTTTGCTGAGCATCAGTAGCAGCGTTGATTTGATCGTTTTCGTTTTCTTTTAATGTTTACAAATTATATGTCACTCCACCAATCAAGACTTGCTATTCTATTACTTTACTTTTTGCAGTCTAAAGTTCCCACAACATTCATTTTGTCATTTTCTGTCTAAGCAAAATATTTTGACTCAGACACTATCCAGAGTGGAACTGGGCATCTTCGTCATTAATGATCATTAAGAAGGGCCAAGGATAGCGTTCTAGTGTTTACGTTGATTGAATGAGTAGTACACGATTTATGTAAATGTGCGTAGATAAGGAAGCCGGCTAAATGGTTGGGTGTAAAAAAGCGTGACTATTTGCCATATTCTCATGCATATTTACCAACCCAAAAGGAATATTTATGAAAAATAACTAAAAAAATTATATAAAATAAAATAAAATAAAATAAATTAAAAAAAAATAAAATAAAATAAAATAAAATAAAATAAAATAAAATAAAATAAAATAAAATAAAATAAAATAAAATAAAATAAAATAAAATAAAATAAAATAAAATAAAATAAAATAAAATAAAATAAAATAAAATAAAATAAAATAAAATAAAATAAAATAAAATAAAATAAAATAAAATAAAATAAAATAAAATAAAATAAAATAAAATAAAATAAAATAAAATAAAATAAAATAAAATAAAATAAAATAAAATAAAATAAAATAAAATAAAATAAAATAAAATAAAATAAAATAAAATAAAATAAAATAAAATAAAATAAAATAAAATAAAATAAAATAAAATAAAATAAAATAAAATAAAATAAAATAAAATAAAATAAAATAAAATAAAATAAAATAAAATAAAATAAAATAAAATAAAATAAAATAAAATAAAATAAAATAAAATAAAATAAAATAAAATAAAATAAAATAAAATAAAATAAAATAAAATAAAATAAAATAAAATAAAATAAAATAAAATAAAATAAAATAAAATAAAATAAAATAAAATAAAATAAAATAAAATAAAATAAAATAAAATAAAATAAAATAAAATAAAATAAAATAAAATAAAATAAAATAAAATAAAATAAAATAAAATAAAATAAAATAAAATAAAATAAAATAAAATAAAATAAAATAAAATAAAATAAAATAAAATAAAATAAAATAAAATAAAATAAAATAAAATAAAATAAAATAAAATAAAATAAAATAAAATAAAATAAAATAAAATAAAATAAAATAAAATAAAATTAAATAAAATAAAATAAAATAAAATAAAATAAAATAAAATAAAATAAAATAATAAAATTTAATTTTAATAAAATAAACAGAATTAAATTAAATAGAGAAACAAAATAAAAAAATTAAATACAGTAAATTAAATACAATAAAATAAAAAAATGTGTTTGAAATCGAATGTGTTTAAGTTTAATGCAAAACAATTCGTAATAGTGATTCAAGTTTGAATTGTGAGGCCTTCCTATTGGGTTCTTTTTTGGTGCTTACACATTTTTCTCCCGTACTTGCAAATATTCTTCACTTCACGGCGACATATGTGCATACATATTTACGCTCTGTATCAGACAGTGATATAAATTTCAATTTTGAATGCCATCAATCTGTGATTTTTGCACTTTGCAGCAATTTGTGGCCATCCATTTATCTCTACGGCTACTGGCTGCCTAACTGAATGAAAGAACGAATGCGTGTGAGAGTGCGAGTGTATTTTAATAGCTCGAAATCACTTGTACATACACATATGCACATTCTCAAATCTATGTATATATATGTATGCATTTGCGTATACTCTCGAACATAGATCTTTTGAATTGGCCAACACATGTTATCATGACCACTGGTCCATTCAAATTCTTCATATATTGCCCTTGTAGTTGTTGTTATATGGTTAATGCTGTAGGTATGTAACGTTTGCTGGTTGCTTTTTTGATGATGATATTGTTGCAGCCTGTGTCGTCTTCTACCCTTTGCAACTAATCTGAATTTATGCGGCAGCATAAATATGAAGTATCAAACGATGCGTTGCAATTTCTCATATTTAAAAAAATTGATGCTATTCACATCCGTAAAATGTTATACCACCAATTTCCGACACAATATAGGGGGGGGGGGGGGGGGGGCGATAGACACTCCTTCACACTCACGAATTTATGGGACAAAAAAACAACAACAAAAATCCGAAAAGAAAAAATCAGAAAAGGAATTGTGTAGCAAAAACATCTGAGGCAGACCAGTTGGCGACATTTAAAGTTTGAACCGAGGCTACTTGGTAGCCGCTTAGCTACACTTAAACTCATATGGATATATTAAGCTTACATATATTCATGCGTCTGGCATTTTGTCCAGATATTGAACGATTTTGCTTTACGTTTCAGTCCACTTTTTGTGTTTTTGTTGTTTTTTTCTCATCTCCACTGGTTATAAATTGCAATGGAATGCTCATAATTTATGGTTAAATGGAATTCGGGTGGAGTTGTTTGCGTGCGAAATTGCGAAATGTGGTGGTCGTGTGGCAGAAATGGGTGTGGCAGACAAGTGCTGCTGATACAGACACTAAATTGGCTATACATACTTCTACATACCTTTATATACATAGTTACAGTGGCTGATAAGATATTATAGCAGGCTGAACATTTGATATTTATTTTCTTCGTTTTTGGTATTAGTTTTTTATTTTTATCTTTATTTTTACTTAGCCTTCACATAAATATTCCTTTTTTATATTCATTCTCTTGGTGGCAATTTCAATGTCTACACACATACATGCACGTACATACATTTGCAGAGAAATATTTTCTGCTGTCTGCACTTGTGGCATGGCGGCAAGTCAATGCCTCTTTGGCCATAAATAATACGACGCAAATGATTTTTATCGCTTTCTACAATTTAATAATACTTTGGAGGTTAGAAGTTGCTAAGCAAATTTGCGGAAGTGTTTTCTTAAGCACTTAATGGCTTAATAATATTGTGGAGTTGTTTTTTTTTTATTAATAATGGAATTGGGAAAATAAATTTTGTTAACAAAAAATATGTGTTTGAGACAGAGAGCGGGAATAAGAGAAATGTTGGCAACTCTACCAACAAACTCTTGGCGACAAACTAAATTTTAAAGACTTTTTAAATTTTCTTCGTACTAAACAGTATTTTTATTAAAATTTTTTTACCTTTAACAATGCGCGAACCGGAAATAATAAGTGAAATCGAGTCTTTTTTATCATATCCTTTCAACAGATGACTGACGAACTATGTCAATCTAGGCGTTTCGCGCGGCTCATCATTCCTCTCAAACGACCATACATCGTTCGTAAACGCTTTCCTTCAAGTAGTTCTCATCATCATCAGATGTGCTAATCGTTGAAGCTTCTATACCAAGTAGTAGGAGGGGGCTGGTTTCTTACTTGTGTAGCTTGAGTTTTGTGCGACGAATGAGTATTTTAGTTTTCAATTTCATACTCCGTCCAAGTAGCACCACACAGTTTAAGTGATTTTGTGTAGGTTTTCAAGATTTGCTTTGCTGTTGCAACCAATAGTTCCGAAATAGGCAGTACTAGCTACGACTTCAAGGGCATGACTCTTATTAGTGAAGTGGGTGTAAAGTCGTAAATGCGCCGAGTGTTTGCTTAATGACAGAAGATATTTCGTGTTGCCCTCATTTAATACCATAGTAGCATAGAGGCAGCTCTTTATTGTGCTG